ATATCAGGGTTATGCTACCCTTATAGAAGGAGCTATTTGTTCCCACTGTTCTTTATCTGGAAGCATTTGTATAAGTTTGGGATAATCTGTTTCTTAACTTTTTTGGTAGTGATCTCCTGTAAAATTACTGGGGTGTGGTTATTTGTGTGGCAGATTTCATTTTGTTAATGGTCGTAAGTCTACGCATAGTTGAGTCCCATTTTGTTAATTATTTCTTCTAGGAAACTGTAATTTATTTTTTAATTCATCAGCATAAAATTATTCATAATATTCTCTTATTTTTCAAGCCACGGCTCTATCTGCCATGTCTTTTTTTCATAATACTGTTTGTGTCTCTTTTTTCTTAATCTGTCAAAGGTTTTATTTTTATTTTTATTTTTTGTTTATTTTTTGAGATGGAGTCTCACTCTGTCATCCAGGGTGGAGTGCAATGGTGTAATCTCGGCTCACCGCAACCTCCACCTCCTGGGTTCAAGTGATTCTCCTGCCTCAGCCTCCTGAGTAACTGCGAATACAGGCACCTGCCACCACGCCCAGCTAATTTTTGTATTTTTAGTAGAGACGAAGTTTCACCATGTCGGCCAGGCTGGGCTGGAACTCTTGACCTCAGGTGATCTGCCCACCTCGGCCTCCCAAAGTGCTAGGCCTACAGGCATGAGCTACCACGCCTGGCCTATCAAAGGTTTTCAATATTGTTATTTCAGAGAACCAGCTTTTGGTTTTAAGAGTCCTCTCTTCTGTATTTTGTATTCTATATTATCAGTTTCTGCTCTTTATTGTATTTTCTTCATATTTTTCCTGTCACATTTCCCTGTTTGCTGAGTTGTTGTTCCTTCATTAACTTCTTGATTAAATGCTGCGCTACTTATTTTCCAGTCTTCTTCTCTAATATAACCAGTTAAGGTTATATATTTTCCTTTAGCTTCTGTTAAAACTCCACAAGTTTTGGGCCAGGTTCTGTGGCTCACCCCTGCTGTAATCCCAGCACTTTGGGAGGCCGAGACAGGTGGATCACTTGATGTCAGGAGTTCGAGACTAGCCTGGCCAACATGGTGAAACCCCTTCTCTACTAAAAATACAAAAATTAGCCGCTGTGGTGGCGCAGGCACCTGTAATCCCAGCTACTTGGGAGGCTGAGGCAGGAGAATCGCTTGAACCCAGGAGGCAGAGGCTGCAGTGAGCCAAGATCTTGCCACTGTACTCCAGCCTGGGTGACAGAGAGAGACTCTGTCTCAAAAAACAAAACAGGATGAAACAAAAAAGACCCAAACAAACCAGAAAGCTCCACAAGTTTTGAAATGTATTTCCATGACCATTCCGTTTTAAATCTATGCCCATAAATTTCCTCTTTTCCATCCTGCTCTCTGCCCATGGGGCTGTCTGTGGGAACTACCAGGGGCTCCTCGCTGTGCCTTCTGTCTTCCATTTGGGTTCAGCCATTGAGGATTCCCGGCAGGAGACAGAAGAGGAGATGGAGGTCAGGGTATTTATTTCCCTGGGCTATTCTCTGAGATTGCCTAAGCTGCTCATGTCCCTTGACAGAAGGTCATTGCTTCTTGCATGGTGGTTTGCTCTACAAAAAAATCTCATTTGGGATTTCTCTAACTTCTGTCTGTTCTCATCTCTTTGGACGTATGGGTTGTGACAGTTCTACTGTTACTAGATCCTCCACTGTTTCTTGTGATTTCCACATATCTTACCCAGGCTGGAGTGCAGTGGTGCCATCACGGTTCACTGCAGCCTGGACCACCTGGGCCCAAGTGATCCTCCCACCTCAGCCTCCAGAGTAGGTGGGACTACACGCTTGCACCACCATGCCTGGATAATTAAAATTTGTTTTTCTTTTTTCAGAGATAGGGTGGTCTCGAGCTCCTGGGCTCAAGTGATCCTCCTGCCTTGGCCTCCCAAAGTGCTGGGATTACAGGCATGAGCCACTGCACCCATCCTTCATATTCATATTCTCTTTTTCTTTTTTTGAGATGGAGTCTCACTCTGTTGCCCAGGCTGGAGTGCAGTAGTGCAATCCTGGCTCACCGCAATCTTCACCTCCTGGGCTCAAGTGATTCTCCCGCTTCAGCCACACGAGTAGCTGGGATTACAGGCGTGCGCCATCATGCCCAGCTAATTTTGTATTTTTAGTAGAGACGGTGTTTCACCATGTTGGTCAGGCCAGTTTGGAGCTCCTGACCTCAGGTGATCCCCAGCTTCGGCCTCCCAAAATGCTGGGATTACAGGTGTGAGCCACTGCACCCGGTCAGTCCTTCATATTCTTTAATAATCCAAAAAAGCTTTTCTTTTCTTTTTTTTTTTTTTTTGAGACTGAGTCTCGCTCTGTTGCCCAGGCTGGAGTGTGCAGTGGCGAGATCTCAGCTCACTGCAAGCTCTGCCTCCCGGGTTCACGCCATTCTCCTGCCTCAGCCTCCCGAGTGGCTCGGACTACAGGCGCCGCCACCACGCCCGGCTAGTTTTTTTTTGTATTTTTTAGTAGAAATGAGGTTTCACCGTGTTAGCCAGGATGGTTTCGATCTCCTGACCTCGTGATCCACCCACCTCGGCCTCCCAAAGTGCTGGGATTACAGGCTTGAGCCACCGCGCCCGGCCCAAAAAAGCTTTTCAAGGTTGTATTATTCATCAATTCGTTATTTATTTTTCCCTATTCCCTGGTTATCCATGGAAACTGTCTCATTTTCTTCCCTTCCTTCCCTCCCACCCCACACCGTGGAATCTTTTTGGCCCCCTGTCTCATTTTCTTTTATCTTATTTTTTAATTTCTAAAAAAATGCCTTCTGGAGTTGTGGATGCCACAGCCTTTATCACCTTTTCTTGCACTGTTAATCTAAATCATATCATTAAATCTGAATTATAAGACTCTGGAAATAAACCTGGTAAACCTGCAGAGCTCATTGCTAGCTTCTCCATCTGATGGAGGTACAGTAATCACTGTGTTAGTTTTTGTAGTTAATGGTGTTATACCATTTCATGTGGAGCTTGATTTTGCATGGCTGGCTAGTGACTCAGCCTTTAGGATGAAGGGTTAGGGAGACAGAGGTAACACTTTCTTGATTTGACTTTCTTCCCTTGTGTGTTTTTGCACCTCTGCATCAAATGTGAAGGAATCACCTTCTGAAATTCATGACTGGTCCAGGTCCTTCCTCGGCCCATCTAGAGAATGGCAGCAACCTGGAAGGCAGTGCCAGGACCAATCTGTCATTGAACTTAAAATACTTTTTTTTTTTTTGAGATGGAGTCTTGCTCTGTCACCCAGGCTGGAGTGCAGTGGCATGATCTAGGCTCACTGCAACCTCCACTTCCCGGGTTCAAGTGATTCTCCTGCCTCAGCCTCCCAAGTAGCTGGGATTACAGGTGCCTGCGCCACCACAGCAGCTAATTTTTGTAATTTCAGTAGAGATGGGGTTTCGCCATGTTGGCCAGGCTGGTTTCCAACTCCTGACTTCAGGTGATCTGCCCGCCTCGGCTTCCCAAAGTGCTGGGATTACTGGAGTCTGCTTTCTTTTACAGTAATCATATCTTCCTGAAACTATAGCCCGGCCGGGCGCGATGGTTCATGCCTGTAATCCCAACACTTTGGGAGGCTGAGGCAGGCGGATCACTTGAGGTCAGCAGTTTGAGACTAGCCTGGTCAACATCGTCTCTACTAAAAATAGAAAAATTAGTCTGGCGTGGTGGTTCGTGCCTGTAATCCCAGTTACTTGGGAGGCTGAGGCAGGAGAATCGCTTGAACTGGGGAGATGGAGGTTGCAGTGAGCTGAGATTGCGCCACTGCACTCCAGCCTGGGCAACAGAGTGAGACTCCCTGTCAAACAAAACAAAACAAAACAAAAAACTATACCCCTTGATTTGACATGGCTATTTAAATTCTCCCCAATAGCATATTTACTCTTAAGATGTGTCAATTCTTCAGATAGCTCATCCCATCTTTTATTGGGCCATTTTCCTCTGAAGATGCAAAATATGTGGGTGGAGGCTGGAAGGTAGGAGGCTAAAACAAACAGAATCGCACGGAATCTCCTTTTTTTTTTTTTGAGACGGAGTCTTGCTCAGTCGCCCAGGCTGGAGTGCAGTGGTGCAATCTCGGCTCACTGCAAGCTCCACCTCCCGGGTTGACGTCATTCTCCTGCCTCAGCCTCCCCAGCAGCTGGGACTACAGGTGCCCGCCACCTCGCCCGGCTAATTTTTTTGTATTTTTAGTAGAGACGGGGTTTCACCGTGTTAGCCAGGATGGTCTCGATCTACTGACCTCATGATCCGCCCACCTCGGCCTCCCAAAGTGCTGGGATTACAGGCGTGAGCCACGGCACCCGGCCGCACGGAATCTCTTTTAACTTTATGGGGGCCGGGCGCGGTGGCTCAAGCCTGTAATCCCAGCACTTTGGGAGGCCGAGACGGGTGGATCACGAGGTCAGGAGATCGAGACCATCCTGGCTAACACGGTGAAACCCCGTCTCTACTAAAAAAAATACAAAAACATAGCCGGGCGAGGTGGCGCGCGCCTGTAGTCCCAGCTACTCGGGAGGCTGAGGCAGGAGAATGGCGTGAACCCGGGAGGCGGAGCTTGCAGTGAGCTGAGATCCGGCCACTGCACTCCAGCATGGGCGACAGAGCGAGACTCCGTCTCAAAAAAAAACAAAAAAAAAAACAACAAAAAAAACACAAAACTTTATGGGCAAGGTGGGGAATCATTAGATTTGAGCGCACCCCACTCATGTAACTGTTTTACAAAATAAAATTATTCAAGTAACACACGAATTTTTTTTTTTGAGATGGATTCTTGATATATTTCCCAGTCTGGTCTCGAACTCCTTGCCTCAAGCGATTCTCCCACCTCGGCCTTCTAAAGTGCTGGGATTACAGTTATGAGCCACCGCGCCCGGCCAGTAATGTTTGTTTAAAAATAAAAAGATAAATAAGAAACTCGAAGTAAAGTCTGCTTTGACCATCGTGCCCATCGTTCTCCCCTCTGAAGGTAACCATTACCAGCGTTTTGAGCACACTTTTCCAGTCTCCTTTCTATATGTCTTCTCAACTCTATTGCATATACAGAGTTTCTTTTTATACACATGACACCTCTTGGGGTCTCACTAAGACGCTAACGGGAGACGTGATGGCCGATTTATTTAAGGAAAGCAGACTAAATAATCGCTGATGAAAACCCACTGGGTGTCAACCCTGCGCTAGGTGCTTTCTTTGGCATGAAGGGTTCTGGAATTTCACTCGCCACAGTCGGTGAGCTGAGCCATTAGTCTAGAGGCTGGGGGGCGGGGTCGGGGAGAGTCGCTTCAAAGCGAGGAGGCAGGGTTTGTATTTTGATGGGACCTAACAGAGCGCGGAGCAACTGCGAAGCAGAAAAAATACCGTTACCGGAGTTGGCCCTGTCAATAAAGCTCGCGAAGCTGAAATGCGAAATATCTGCCAAGACGGAAGCTTCCTTCGGAATGTAGGAATCGACACTGCGCCTGCGAGACTAGCCTTGGAGCCCGGAGAGGAAAGCGCCAGCAGTGGCAAAAACGATGCACCGGGCAGGCAGCAACCGAGCAGCCAACCGGAGAGCGGGTAGCGCTCCGGCCCGGTGGGCAAGTGCGCCTGCGCAGACCTCTGGAGGGGGCCGGGAGGGGCGGGGCTTGGGGGCGGGGCTTGAGGGGCGGTCAATGCGCCTGCGCACACCGCGCGGCGAGGTGGGGGAGGGCGGTCCGTGTGTGTCTGTGTTGTTGTTCGGCGGCGGCGGCGGCGGCGGTAAGATGGCTGCCCACGGGGGCTCCGCGGCGTCCTCGGCGCTGAAGGGGTTAATTCAACAGTTCACCGCCATCACCGGTAAGAGACGCGGTTACCGGAAGGTGGAGGGGGGGGTCCGGAGCGGGCGGCGGGTCTGCCCCGGGCTTCCCCTCACCTTCAGGCATTCCTCCTTCGGGCTTTACCCACAGCTCCCGTCCTCCCTCCTGAGGAAGAGGCGACGACGGCGTCGGGGTCTCCGGGTTCAGGCGGGAGACAGCCCCCGCGCTCCCGAGACCCTCGTTCTCTGTCTCCTAGTAGTGTGGAGGGAGATCCCCCAGCCCCCCGCCAGCCCAGACCTGGGAATGGGCCGAGTCCGCCGCCCCCGCCGGCCCGGGGACCCGGGGGCGGGAGGAGTGGGGGGCCGCACCCGGGCCACCGCCCTCCTCCTCCTCCTTCATCATCTCCCTTCTCGGTGCAGCCCTGCGGGGCGGTGCGTCTCCTCACCTCCGTTTTCCTTTCTTCCCCGGCCAGGTCATCCTGCCCCGGTCCCCGGCCTGCCCTTCCCCTTTCCGGGCCCCTCGGAGCCATCGCCGTGGCCCTGGCGGGTTCGGGCCCTCCCGCCTTCACGGCGAGGCCGGTGGGTTCGGCCGTGCCCGTACACTTCCCGGGGGATAGGCCGCCAGAAGCGGGGGTGCCGAGGAGGACCCGGGGACTGCGGCTTAGAGGGAAGAATGAGGGGGACCCCGAAGCTGAATCGGGGAGGCCTGGAGGAATCCTGGGTGGCGTTTCCCACCTCCCCATAATAAAATCATAAAGACGGAGACGATGGCGCCGGGGCCTCCTGCTGATAAGATAGGGATGGCGGCAGAAACTTCTTTGAGAGAAAATCTGTTTCTGGGTGTCAGTATCCCCGAAACCCTAGGCCTAGGTTGTTCTCTCCCTTTGGACCCCTGCGAAGGGCACACGCAGATCCTCTTACCGCCTGGAGGAAAGGCCCTAAAGCCATTCTCTGAATTCTGTCTTGTTTCTCTCTGATGGTGCTGAACTTTTCTTGCATGAGTTATTAGAGGGCGGAGCAAATGATGAAGTGCTCTGTGGAGGGATTTGAGGGAAGAGTACTCCAGTGTGCCTGAGTGTAATTTTGCCGTTCTAGTTTGTCATTTTGGAAGGAGGTCAGAATGTTAGTTCCCTTTCTCAACGGATCTGTACTTTATCTCGGAATGTGTTAGATGCGGAGAATGTTTCCATGTTAATGTTCCTAGAGTTTAACGTGGAGTATCTGGTTAAGTAAAATTTTATATTGTTTTAACTACTACAGGCTGTATACTAGTTAAAGTTTTATATTAAAGCTAGCTTTATTTTTTTGCTTTGCAGTGATAACGAGATATTTGACGCATTGTTATCTAGCTTGTGGGCATGGAACATCAGGTCAAAGTTAGTAAAGTAAAATTTGTAATGAAATTGGGGTGAGGAGTTACATGATAACTTCTCTTAATATTTTTAAACTTTGTGATTGGATTATTGAAGATATAAAGGATTGAATTATTAAATATATAAAGGATTTCGTAATGTCTAACAAATCATTGCTGTGGAGAAGTTTATTGTGTATATAAGTTAGTGTTGATGCGTTATGCTTATATAGAAAAATTTTCGCAGTGAATCTGATAGAGAAGTGAATATCACTATTAATCCTTTCTTTAGATTTCCTAGAGATAGTTTATGATGCCACTTGGGCCTGGCGCGGTGTCTCACACCTGTAATCCCGGCAGTTTGGGAGACGGAGGCTGGAGATTCACGTGAGGCAAGGAGTTAGAAACCATCCTGGGCAAAACATAGTGAGGCCCCATCTATACAGAAAAAAAAAGTGAGCTGGATGTAGTGGCACCGACATGTAGTCCCAGCTACTGGGGAGGCTGAGGTGGGAGGATTGCTTGAGCCTAGGAGTTAAAGGCTGCAGTGAGTTGATCATGCCACTGCACTCCATCCCTGGCAGGAGAGCAAGACCATTTCTCAAAAAACAAAAAGAAGGAAAAAAAGCCACATTATTATTATTATTTTGAGACAGAGTCTCGCTCTGTTGCCCAGGCTGGAGTGCAGTGGTACGATCTCGGCTCACTGCAACCTCTACCTCCCGGGTTCAAGCGATTCTCCTGTCTCAGCCTCCCTAGTAGCTGGGACTACAGGCGCCTGCCACGAGGCCCGGCTAATTTTTGTATTTTTAGTAAAGACGGGGTTTCATCATGTTGGCCTGGCTGGTCTTGAACTCCTGTCCTCAAATGATCCACTCACCTCAGCCTCCCAAAGTGCTAGGATTACAGGCGTAAGCCACCGTGCCTGGCCCTAAAAGCCACTTAATTAATTTTCAGTTTCTTATGCTAATTACTAGTCTTCCCAAACTCTGATTGGTTTAACGCCACTTTACTACTTCTGTTGCAACATTTTTATTAGGTGCACAAAAAAACCAAAGTGTGATGAGGTGAATTGACTCACTTAATTGCTTTAATTCTGTTTCTGTTAGTCTACACAGCTTGATTTCTGGATCAAGTTGGAGGCCCTCCATCAGTAGACAATGATGTCTGAAAATCTACAGAGGGAAGATACCTCAGAGTGTTCCTGAAATACTGTGAATTTCTATTGATAATTTTTGGGATTCTTCTTACAAGTTAGTGATTAACCATTAGAAACACATGATTGGTTTCTTTTTGCCTTTTTTACATGCCTTAAAAAGAATTTTTTTGGAGTTCTCTCCACATATGTTTAAATCATAGTGTTTATGATTAAAAGGTATTTTACATTTATTAATTGCTGGATGAATTATAGTGACCTTAATCACTTATGCTCTGATTTCACAGAGGTTTTACTTGGAAGCTCAACATTCTTGTAAAAACAAATGCATCATCAAAAATGTGAGTCCTTATTCCTTAGGCAGGAGGGAAAAAAAGAAAAAGAAAAAAATTAAAATAAATGTGAGTCTTATCTTTTCTTTGGCATTTAGAAATAGAACGGAAAATTGAAAGATTTTAGAAAAGTCTTATTTCTTACTGAATAGAACAGATCTCTCTCTGATTCAGTGAGTATGACATAATGACTGAGTTTTGATTTTTTTTTTTTTTTTTTTTTTTTAAGAGATGGAGGTCTCCTCTCTTTGTTGCCCAGGCTGTTTTCCAACTTCTGGGCTCAGCCATCCTCTTGCCTCAGCCCTCCCAGTAACTGGGGCTACAGGTGCACATCAGTGTGCCTGGTTCAGTAATGGCTGATTAAAAAAAGAGATTATTAAAAAGACAATATCATAATAACTTTTTTTGTTGTTGTTGTTTTGAGATGAATTGGGTCTTACACTGCCACACAGACTGAAGTGCAGTGGTCTGATCATGGCTCACTGCAGTCTCCTCCTCTTGGGTTCAGGCGATCCTCCCCCCTCAGCCTCCAGGGTAACTTTCTATATTTTTTGTGGAGACGGGTCTCACTTTGTTGCGCAGGCTGGTCTTGAACTCCTAGGCTCAAGCAGTCCACCCACCTTGGCCTCCCAAAGGGCTGGGATTACAGGCGTGGGCCACTGCACCTGGCTGAAATAATTTTGATAAAAGGGAAAAGAACTAATCCTCCTTCTCACAACAGCAATATTTGTTTTACATATTCCACTTCTTGTTTATATACTTATTTTTACATTGTAGATCATAGTATATACAATTTCTGAGATTTTTTTTTCTTTTCTTTTCTTTTTTTTTTTTTTTTTTAAAGATGGTCTTGTTCTGTCACCCAGGCTGGAGTACTGGAGTACAGTGGCACAGTCATAGCTTGCTGCATCCTTTACTGAATGGGCTCAAGTGATCTCCTGCCTCAGCCTTCAGAGCAAGTTAGGACTACAAGCGTGTGCTGCCATGCCCAACTAAAAGACACAGTTCTGGAATTCTCACTAACATTATGCCATAAACAGTTTTTGCATGGTCAGACTGATAAGCAGGTGGCCAAGAGAAGTTACGACCTTTGTAGTAACCATACTGAGAAGCTATATACAGCATGGTTTGCCATTTATGCTTGCTTTTTGGGTCCCCCCCACAGAATTTCACTAAGTCACCCAGTCTGGAGTGCAGTGGCGTGATTTCAGCTCACTGCTGCCTAAGAAAACCAGTCTTGTTACTTTTATAGTCATTCCACATTTTACAATGCTACTGTTTGATCTCCTCTGATTTATCATACATGGCTTTGAATTACTGTTGAACACTTTCAGAAGTCATATCAATTCTCAAAACATGAAGGAAAAATATGCGGCTGGATCTATTCTGAAATAGCAATTTTTAAAGAATGTTTTGAAGCTGGGTGTGGTGGCTCACACCTGTAATGCCAAGCACTTTGGGAGGCCAATGCGGGTGGATCACCGGAGTTCAGGAGCTTGAGACCAGCCTGGCCAACATGGTGAAACCCTGTATCTGCTAAAAATATAAAAATTAGCTGGGCATGGTGGTGCGCGCCTGTAATCCCAGCTACTCAGGAGGCTGAGGCAGGAGAATCTCGTGAACCCAGGAGACAGAGGTTGCAGTGAGCCGAGATCGGGCCACTGCACTCCAGCCTGGGCAACAGAGCGAGACTCTCTCAAAAAAATAAAATAAAATAAAATAAAATAAAATAAAATAAAAGTATTTTGAGCCATGCAGTATTCCATTAGCACCAACTTTGGGCTGACATGTACCACACATATAACTAGTGCACATGTATAATCAGAATAATTCATGGAGTGAAGGTGAGGGATACATAGACACTATAGAACAGGTGCAAAATAAACTAGAAGGTAAGGACAGATGTGAGGGCATAGAAAGTAGAGGCTAAGAAGAGTACAAGAGGTTACTGGTAGAGAAATTCATAGAGCTTTGTGCATAGTGGCAATCACATACTTCAGAAAATTATAGAACCTCAGTTGTAGAAGAGGCCTTAATCTTTCAAATTGTTGAGTGAGTACATATTTATTATAAAAATTAGGAACTGTCATGTTTATAGTATTTAGCTTGATGGCCAATTTCCATTCATATTCCTTTTTTTTTTTTTTTTGAGACGGAGTCTCACTCTGTGGCCCACGCTGGAGTGCAAAGGCATGATCTTAGCTCACTGCAGCCTCTGCCTCCTGGGTTCAAGCAATTCTCCTGTCTCAGCCTCCTGAGTAGCTGGGATTACAGGCATGCGCCACCGTGCCCGGCTCATTTTGTATTTTTGGTAGAGACTGGGTTTCTCCATTTTGGTCAGGTTGGTCTTGAACTCCCGAACTCAGGTGATCCTCCCGCCTTGGCCTCCCAAAGTGCTGGGATTATAGGTGTGAACCACTGTGCCCAGCCTCATTCATATTCTTTCGTACGGAACATTTCCTTTCTCTTGGGTTAATATTAAAATGTGAGGCCGGGCACGGTGGCTCAAGCCTGTAATCCCAGCACTTTGGGAGGCCGAGACGGGTGGATCACGAGGTTAGGAGATCAAGACCATCCTGGCGAACACGGTGAAACCCCGTCTCTACTAAAAAATACAAAAAACTAGCCGGGCGATGTGGTGGGCGCCTGTAGTCCCAGCTCCTCGGGAGGCTGAGGCAGGAGAATGGCGTAAACCCGGGAGGCGGAGCTCGCAGTGAGCTGAGATCCGGCCACTGCACTCCAGCCTGGGCGGCAGAGCGAGACTCTGTCTCTAAATAAATAAATTAAAAAATATTAAAATGTGATTAAGTTCTCTGTGTCTGGAAAGGTGGTCACAGTATTATAGATGTTAAGATAAAACTTCAGGAATTTTAACAATAGTTTCAATAGGTGATAATTAAGTTTCAGAATTTCTTTTTTTTTTTTTGAGACCAAGTCTCACCCTGTCACCCAGGCTGGAGTACAGTGGTGCGATCTTGGCTCACTGCAGTCTCTGCCTCCCCAGTTCAAGTGATTCTCCTGCCTCAGCCTCCGTAGTGACTGGGACCACAGACACGAATGCCCGGCTAAATTTTTTGTATTTTTAATGGAGATGGGGTTTCATCTTGTTGGCCAGGCTGGTCTCAAACTCTTGACCTGAGGTGATCCACCGACCTCAGCCTCCCAAAGTGCTGGGATTACAGGTGGGAGCCACCACGCCTGGCTGAAGTTTCAGAAATTTAAGGGAGGTAATTTTGAGTTGCGAATGGAATCTTATTAGTAA